ATTCTAAGTTACATGTGACTCAGTGGGCCACCAAGATGATTCAGTGGTTAAGTTGCTTGCTGTCAAGCCTGATGACCTAATTCAACCCTCAGGACCCACATGGTGAAAAGAGAGAATCAGCTTCTCCCAAAAGTTGTCCTCTACCTACCACATGCCTTGGCCCATGCGTGTCCACATACATGCTTGTGTGTGCACAATGAATAATAAACGCTTAAAAATAGAGGCTGAGCATAGAGGTGGTGGTGTACGCCATTAATCCTAGCACTCAGGAGGTGGAGGCAGGTGGAGTCAGAGACCAGCCTGGTCTTCAAAGTGAGTTCCAGGACAGCCAGGGCTACACAGAGAAACCGTGTCATGAAAAGCCTCAATAAATAAATAATTTTTAAAGATAGAAGCTGAAAAATGAGAAAACAAAGCTTCTCTAAGAACCAGGCCGCTGGGTCAGACCTTCAAATTCTCATATTTAGAGAAGATAAGCTTGGCTATGAAGGGAATTCTTAAGTCACAAATATTTGAAACCAAAGAAGTGAAAGGCCATGGCCTTTAAGTCAGCAAGGCCCAGCATCAGGTGTGTATACTTCCCAGCTTTGAACTCATAGGAAGGGAAGAGAATAATCAGAACTCATCCAGGGTTTTGCCCCTGCTGTGTCTGTCCTTTTCAGCCTTAGTCTCCCTAGGAGGATTTTTTCTTCAGTGTTGGGGTTTTGGTTCTACAATTTAAAGGACCTCTGTCTTACCTGCTAACATGTCACCTCCACTCTTCTGCCTCAGCAGGTTCTAGAAGCACACATAGAGCAGTCCCTGAGGTGCTGCCCCATCTGCCTATGAGCAGGATGATACCAGGAGGGAGGAGACAGTTGGTCTGCGAGAGTCTCATGGCCTGAAACTCACCTTTCATCTGGGTTCTGACCTACAAACTGTCCTAAAGCTGAGAGCTCTGAGACTGCAGAGTGTCCTGCTTGGATCCCCACTCTTAAGGCCGTGCAGTGGTTAATCTTCATTGTCAGCTTGACTGGATTTAAAACCGACCTAGGGGAGCACGTCCTGAGAGGATGATGTGAGAAAGGGCACCCCTGAGTGTGGGTGGCACCACCCCGTGGGGCCACAGCAATAAGCAAGCCCTGATCTGCCTTCCCCATCCAAATGGCCTGTTCTCAGCCATGCCCGTGGAAGCCTTCTCTCCCTTGAGTTACTGGTTATTAGCTGTTTGGTCACAAGAACCCTAAGGGTTACAGATTCTACCCCATTCTTGGTCTCTGTCACACTGAGACTTGCTTTATAGTGCTGTGTGTGTGTGTGTGTGTGTGTGTGTGTGTGTGTGTGTGTGTGTGTGTGTGTGTGCACGTATGTATGTGCTGTCTGTCTCTGTGTCTGTCTCTGTGTCTGTCTAGACTCTCTATGACTGTCTGTCCCAGGCTGGCCTCAAAACTCCTGAGTCCTCTGCCTCAGTCCCCCCAAGTGCTGGAATTACAGCCATGTGCTGCCATGCTTACCCTGTCTTCTTTTATACTTTTAGACACTAAGAAGAGAGGAGTGGGGAGAGGTAGGGTTTAGCTGTTAGGAGTTTCTCTTTTGCCCTTATACCTACCCCTCCCCCAACACTTCCTTCCTTACTCCCTCACTTTCTTTCTCATTTTCTCAGTGTTGGTATAGAGAGGGCCTAGGCACCCTTGGCAAGGGCTTTACCACCAAGCTACATCCCTAGCCTGCAGTCACACTTTCACTGAACAGCTCTGGCCTGAGGCCAGGTCATAACTGGATGGGGGCAAGTATGTAAGAACAGCCTGGGGAAAGGTGCTGCCTACCAGCAGGTGGGCGATGATCCCTGTGAACTAGCTAACCCTGTTCTTGGGACAGAACCCTGAGACTTTCTGCCTGCTGGATGGAGAGATGGAGCGCTCCAGCAGCCCCTCTGATCCTGCTGGGGATCTTCACCTCAGGTGACACCAGGGCAAATGCTCAGCTTCCATAGCTTCCTCTTTTCTGGCACTGTGACTCTGGGAAAGGAGTTAACCTTCCTAACATCCTCTTCCCTGTCTGTTAATCATAGCCTGCCCATAGGGCCTTGGAAAATGAGGGATGAACATTAAGGGTCAGCATAGGACCATGAGCTGCAATGATGGTGTTACAGCCAGCTTCTAGTGTCCCTGAAACACAGCACCCCAACCTTTAGAGGCCTGGCTGGATGCAGGGAGAGGCCTGCTCCTTTACTGGACTGCAGATTCTCTCCCCTGTGCTAGACGCTAAAGAACATTCTAGAATCAAGCCCCAAAGGTGAATGGAATAGGATCATGAAGTTATGAGCAAGGTTTGAACACAGCAAGGACTTGACCTTCCTGAAAGTTTTATCTCCCTAACCATAATCTCTTCCCCTCCCTCCCCTGCCTCCCCCTTCCCATGTGAACACCCTACTCTCCACCTTCCAAGACTCATATTTGGTGCTTTTAAACTTTTTTCTTTATTTAGGCAGAAAAGATCAACTCTTCAAAAGTAAAACTCAATAAATAAGTGTAGAGAACTGTCAGAAATTGACTCCCCCTTCTCACCTTTATCATCCCACCCCCCCCCCACCCTTGTTCTTTTCCCTAAAACCTCTTCCTAAAGAAAAAGATCAGGTAATGAACCCCTTTAGCCCTCCCCACACCCTTCCTCCCAAATACCCAGTTACCCCCAAAGCAAAGGGAGAAATCAAGAGAGAGAGAAAAAAAATCCAAGGGCCACATTGTCTAAAACTCCCAGGAAGAGATGGCAGCGTCTGGCTGGTTGGGCTGGGTAGTGCCCTGGTGGTCATGGTATTTACATGGAGGGGCCAGCAGAGACTGTAAACATTTTTAGGGATTGGGGAAGGTCTCTCCCTCGTGAAAGGAGGGTCTCTGTGACTGACTGGCAGACAGGCAGCCCACAGGGCTCCCCCACACCCTCCTTTGAGGGGGCCTTGGGGAAGGCAGTAAGTTTTAGGGCTGGGAGCCTGGGTTTTGGAGATACCCTACCTCTAGCTGAGGGTGGAGGGAAGTGTGAGCCAGCTTCTGAGAAGCCCCTACAGTGGGGAAGAGGCTGGGGTGAGGACTGGGGAGAGAGGATGCCTGGCTGCCCTCGTGGGCCTGCACAGCTACTCCAGGCCCACTGAGGAGAGGAAGTGCGAACGGTAGGTGCAGAGGCCCGACTCGGGAGCCTTAGCAGAAGGCAAATACCCCTGAACCTTCAAGCCTATTCCTTGCTTCCTCACAGAGGCCAAAAGGGCACTGGGGAGGAAATAGGCTCTTGGAGCCAGGGAAGCAAAACCATGGCCCTTCAGAGAGGCAAGGTGGTGGGAGTGAGCCAGGTCCTGAGCCCTTAGGGCCTCGAAGCAGCTTTTGCCCCAGAGTCCAATCAAGGCCCGGGCAGATGTGCTGAGAAGGCCAGGGCCAGTCATAGGAAGAGTGCCAAGTGCCCCTCTCTGTTATCTCCAGACCTGTGAAGGAAGGAAATACGGGTGAAGCACAGGGAAGTAGCTAATACTGGTCACAGATTCTGGGAAGGGGGCAGGGGGGGCAGGGAGTGATGGCACCAGTGATGGGGCTGCCCGAGAAAGGCCTTGTCCCAACAGAACCATCCTCTCACCTCCCCCATTCCTCCACGGGGACAGGGAAATGGGGAAGGAGGGCTGAAACAATAAATATAGAAACTGAAGCTATTATGAAGAAACAAGTCAAAAATTGACTGGAAGATAGTCAGAGCTAGAGGGGGAGAGAGGCAAAGAAATGAGACAAACAGGCAGGCAGAGATAACTAGGAGGAAGAGGGGTGCACGGACAAGACAGACACCTGGAGAGGCAGCATCTGCAGAGCCTGGGTAACCCAGGAGGGGCTTTGGGATGGAGTAGTAAAGGGTGACACCACTCCCAGCCCTTAGGTAGTGTTCTCATTCCTTTTCGGAAAGGAACAAGGAAGCAAGAGAAAAATGCACAGACCACAGATCACAGTCACCAACCACTGTTGACCAAGCACATCCCGAGAGCTGCCCCCCGCCCTGAGCCTGGGCGGGGGGGGGGGGGGGGGTGCACTTCCCTCCACAGCCCCTCCCCAGATAACAAACAATTGGCTCCAAAGACAACACGCTTATTCCATGCAACTTACAGGGGCCCGGAGCAGGGGTCCGGGATGGGGGCTTCAGCCGACAATGGACACGGACCCTGGGCTGGGGGCCCCCAGGGTGGGGGGAGTTAAGCAGCCAGGATTGGGGGGAAAGGGGAGAAACAGAAATGTGGGTATTGTTCTTGGGTTGTGATTTTTCAAGGTTTGGTCCAAAGGAGATTAAACAAATCAAAAATAGCCAGGGCTTATAGGTCTGTGCCCCAAATTTGGATGGCAGCCTCACTGGGCTGGAGGGACCCTACTCAGTACAATTCCCAGGCAGGTGCTATTCCACTAGGGCCAAGCCATGCCCGCTCCCATCTGTATCAGGTTCTGCCCCAGACTCCACTGCCCTGGGAAAGTCACCTGCGATTCAGGGCAGCTGGCAACAGGACCTGAGTGTCTCCACTTCTCAGGAGACAAGGTTTCAAAACCAAGAGGCTCTCTGACCCTCCAGGTCTCTAAAGCAGCCTCCTAGCCCCCAAAACCTACTCCACCAATTTCATCCAACCCAAAAGAAAACCAGAAAGAGAAAGACACAGACACATGGACACTGACCAGACAAACAAGACCAGATACTGTGGAAAACTCTGGGCGCAGACACAGGTGTAGACTTGGCTATCTCTGGGGGTGGTCTCTCTCTTTGCTTTATGTGTGTGTGTGTGTGTGTGTGTGTGTGTGTGTGCACACGCGTGTGCGCGCGCTGCCAAGAGACACAACTGATTATCAGAACAACAGCTGGGGGAGTGGCCCAGACCCCCTTTCCATATGCCCAGCGTCAGGGCCGGTTGGTGGTGGAAAGGCAGGGGATTCACTTAAGGGATCTGGCTGCAATGTGTAGAGTCTGGAGATGAGGTCACAGGACAGAGCAGCACCCACCTGAAGCCCTTAGTAGGGCCTGTTTGCATCCTTAGGCCGCTTTAGCTGGACTTTGAGGCGCTTCATGCCAATCTGGAAACCATTCATAGCCTGGATGGCAGCCTGGGCACTGGCCGGATTGTCGAAACTCACAAAGCCTGAGGTGAGAAGGGCATAAGGCCCAGTCCTGCCCCACACCGCTGTCCTGCCACAGGGCCAGGGCTGCTTGTTTGGTTTCCCGACACCACCCTACTTCTTACGGGCATCTCTAATACCTGGAAACCTGCCTGGCACACAGTAGGCATTCAGAAAGAATTCTTTGATGATAGATTTAATGAGTGAATCCAGTCCAGCCATTCACAAACTAGGATGTGCTTTCCAATGTTCTTTGAAGAACAAGAAACCTGCCTTTTGAAAACCCTATCAGTGGCTTCTGAAACAAGGGTCTGAAGCAGACTTCCAACTGAAACCTTATGAAATCTAGTATCCCCAGACTACGTGAAATGGAGTTGGTGTGTGTGTGTGTGTGTGTGTGTGTGTGTGTGTGTGTTATGAGAGAACATAGGATCTCATGCCACCACACTAGCTCAGATTTCTGAGCTACATCTCAAGCCCCGAGGTTGGTTTTTAAGGTGGAGGGTGAAGCTGTGACCTTTTACAAGAGATGGGTTTGAGTGGCAACTGTATGGGATGGTGGGTGTGTCAGAGATGGTTCTTTTGTGGCCTTATAGACTCAGGCTTTCAAGTGCTGAGCTCATTGAGACCCTATATGCCTCCAAATGTGACAAGCTTTGTTCTAAGATAGAGTTCAAACAAAAATGTCCATACTCTTTCTTTTGGGTCATGTTCTTACCAAAACATTTGCTCTGATTGGTGGCCCGGTCAACAAAGACTTTGGCTGAGATGACATGACCAAAAGGGACAAACATCTGGAGGATCTCTGAGTCCGTGAACTCCTGGGGCAGGTGGTAGATGAAGATGTTGCAGCCATCAGGGCCTGGGTGGCAGCAGAGACAGAGGGGAAAGCTCAGAGACTGGGAGATGCAGACTAGAGTTGCAGAGCTGTGGGGAAAGCAGCCGCAGCCGCCAATCCAGGCAGGCCCGCAGCAGTGTGGGCCAGGGCTCCCCACTCCTTCCATTCTCACACACAGAGCCAGAGCTCAGTTTGGCACAGAGCCAACTGGGAGTACCCGAGCCCACAACATGGGTGTTGTTATCCCTGCAGGTTCGAAGCTATCAGGACCCTGCCCCGGGCTGGCACCTTCCCGTTGTTGCTGTTGCTGCTGCTGCTGCTGCTGCTGTTGCTGAGGTGGTGGTGGCGGCTGCTGGGCGACCAGGGCCGGAGGCTGCGGGAACGGAGGTGCAACCAGGCTGTAGGCTGCAGGGTAGGCTGCTGGGCGGTGAAAACAAGAAAAGGCTGATGGGTTCCCCTGACCCCTCACAGCCAGCCTTGTCTCCCCCCTCCACCCAATCCGGTGGAATCCACAGGGCTGTATGTGTCATGGAGGGGCTTCCTCAGACCAAGTCCTGGGGGGTGCTGCCCTCAAGCATCCGTTCTCACAGGCACAGCTTGTCAGGAAGGCCTGAGGGTGTGGTTGGCAGAGAGTGTAGAAGCGTAGACATACAGTTTCTGGGTCTGTTTTCCTCATGCCCTCCCTCCCACCTAGGCCGGGCCCAGCTAGAGTCCCTCACCTGTGTAGTGCTGCATTCCTGCATAGGCCTGCTGGAGCGGGTCCACAGGGGCAGCAGGGCTCTGGGCTGAGGAGAGTATCACAAGCCATGAGCGGGTCTGGGCCACAATGGGAACCCCGCCAGCACCTCTCTCAGCAGACAGAGCCTCATCTGGGGGTGGAGGGTGAGATGAGAAGGGGAAATGCAGATGGCAGTAGGAGAAGGGGAAGAACCAGCCCAGTGTCCGGCAGACAGGTCTATGACTGACTTGCCACCACGGCCAAGTTGCATCACCTAAGCCTCAGCTACCCTAGCCAAAACCCAAAGAATGCCAGGTGGGGTAGCACACTGCTCTAGTCCCAGTACTGAGGAGGCAGAGGCGGGCAGAGCTCTGTGAGTTCGAGGCCAGCCTGGTCTACATAGTGAGTTCTGGGTCTTGGCCACACAGAGAGACCCTGTCTCAAAAACATTTAAAAAAAAAAAAAAGAAAGAAAGAAAAAAGAAAAGAACCCGAGGAGCATTTCTGCCCAGGAAGAGCAAGAAAAAGCACCTTAAGCCCTGAGGTTGGAGAGGGAAGGTGTGTCATGGCTGCCAGCAATGGGAGTTGTGGCCTGGATGGCGGATGGAGCAAGTTAGGCAGGCAGAGAGCCCCACCTGGGTAAGGGTGGACCCCGTTGGGATACAGAGCATCAGGGGCAGGCTGCCCTGTGGGCTGAGTGGGCACCGGGCTATAGCCGTTGACGCCCAAGGCAGCAGGGATGGCAGAGACGGGCGTGGCAGCAATGGCAGGAGGGGTGCTGGTTCCTAGGAAGGAGAAAATGACAGCGACAGAGCAGAGAGACAGGCACACAAATGCAGAGAACTCGTTGGCAAACCTGGGGGCAGAGTGGAGCAAGCAGCCCATTCTCTGCCCCGGAGCACTGCTTGGAACCCATGGCTTCCCCTACTCACTGCCGCCATGCTATCATTACCTGCCCAGCTATGTTTGTCCCTAGCCCCACCTGCCTAGCACAGGCCATACCTGAGGATGGAGTGATGGGGGTGGCGATGAGGCCATTGGCATTGATGGCAGCCATGTGCTGCATCTGCACGGCAGCCATGGTGGCCATAGGGCTGAGGTAGGCACTGTGAGCTGCTACCAGGGCTGCCTGCTGCTGCATCAGCTGTGGAATGGGGAGAGGAGAGTAGGGCCAGGCCCCAGCACTGGTGTTCATCTCCCTCCCAAGGCCTGCTCTGGTGTTTGGAGGGTGGGTCACTGAGGACATGGAGATGATCGAGATCTACCTAGCACTGGGCGTGAGGGGCATGCTTACGGCCTGGGTGTAGGCGCTGTAGGCTCCAAACTGGAGGGCGATAGGGCTGAACATGCCCAGCTGGGTAGCCACCTGCTGCATTCGGCGGAGACCTCGCTCCTTCTCTGTGTCAGCAAACTTTACCACCAGGCTGGATGAGGCACCCTGGCCATGGGCCCACATGCCACAGAAGAGTCGATTGACATCTGCTCCTTAGGGGCCTCAGAGCCTAGTCTCAGGTCTCTTTGGGAGCACAGCCATCACAGTGCCCAATCCAAATGGGAAGATCCTAATCCCACCATCTCCCTGCACTGGGATGTGTAAAAGGCTAGACAGAATTGAGGAATATGAAGTTAAATGCTCAAAGAATGGACAGTGCTGAGAGGCATCTGTGCTGGCAACCCATAGTGGATTAGCTGTGGAGAATGTGAACCTGACAACTGCCATGATTCTGAGGCCACACCCCAGGTCTCACGGAGTGCTCAGTGGGTGCCACTTCACATTTTAATGCTAGCCTGAGCCAAATCAAATTCAAATCGGCACATTGGCAAGGATTGTCATAGTCCTAGACTCTCAAAGCTGAAGGGGCCCAGGTTCAGTTCTCGGTCGGATGTTGAGTTCTCTTCCTCTTCAATGCCTGCCCTGCCTTTGCTAGAGACCCCTGAGCTGTGGGAAGGCCCACATCTTTTGGAAGCAGCTAGTTAGGTTCCAGCTAGGAACTCCAGCTCACATTCAACTGACTTAACACTAACATTCAGGAGCAGCAGTAGCAGGTGTGAACACATGCTGGGCAGGTGGGGCCTGTCAGCAAGGGTCCTGACACCCCAGGAAATGAGGTAGGTAGAGAACAGATGGGAGACAGAGGGCTGAGGAATGGAGGAGGCTGTAAGGGAATTTGGACAGAAGATGAGGAGTAGGTATAGGGCATGATATTTGATTCTTTTGCAAAAACAAAACAAAACAAAAATTAGAAGTTCTATCCTGAATGGAATCTTGCTCTATGCCAGGGCCTGGTGGGTGGGCCAGTGGGAAAACAAAGAAGGAGGGGAGTGGGGCTCACCGGCAGCGTCCGGCTGCTGTGGAGGGTGTTGATGGCTGCCTGGGCCTCAGCGTGAGTCTGGAACTTCACAAAGGCACAGCCTAGAGTGAATGGTTGGGGTGGAGGAGAAGAGGGGTGAGTGCCTACCACGAGGGCACCCTCCGGAGTCTGTGGGCAAAGGGAGGAGTGGGAGGGACTACCTTTGCTGGTACCATCTGGCCCCCGGAGCACAGTGCACTCATCTATGGTCCCAAATGGTTCAAACATCTTCCGCACGTCCTCATCTGTCTGCTGCTTTCCTAGCATTCCTACAAAGAGCTTCCGGTCTTCTGGGGGTGGGGCACAGGAGGGGAGTAATGTTTGAGGGCCTCCTGCTGGCTCTCCCAGCCCTTCACCTTTCACTTGTTCCTGTTGCTCCTGACACTACTTCCCCCATCCTGGAGAACAGTAGCTCTAGGTGTGAAGGGCTGATAGCTGGGAACTGGCCTTCAGAACTGTGCAGTACTCTCATCTCAGCTCTGGAGAACTTGAACTCTACTTGGCCTCAGTTTTGTCATCTCTACGAATGGGCTAGATCTTGGCTCCTGCCACCACACTCACCCATTACTTAACCCCAGCTCTAATAATTCTTCAGTACTATTAGACTTCCTTCCTTAAGAAAGGCTGCCTCTCATCTCTTTTAAGCCCTGGGCCTGGGGATAGGAGGAAAGGGGCTAAATCCAAAGTTGTAGAACCTACCTCCTCGACTCTCGCTGTCGGCTGGCTTGACCTGGATCGGCCTGTTCATCTACAGGAGAGAAAAGAAGGAAACTACCAGGACCTCCTCTGAACATCCAAGAGCCCTCCCGGACTGAGATGACTAGAGATTGAGGGGAACAAAGTTGCCTCTGCCCTCTAATTTGATGGGAAAAAAAGGGTAGGGTCAAACTTGTCTAGAATTAAACCTGAAAGGATTAAAGGTATTGGGGAGAGGGGATGTGTTGGAAGATGTTCCTGGGGTGCAGCTCTAGGCTCAGGTTGGCCTCAGAATGCCTGGGCCACCCCTAGGTGTTGCTCTCTTAGGTGAGAAATGCCTGACCATAGGACCCAGGCCTTAAGCCAGAGCTCAGCCAAGGGACTGATCAACCAGAGCTGCCTCCATTCTGCAAAATAGGAGCAAACAGGGTATCCCATAGAGAATCCCCAAGGAAGGATGAGGGAGACCCCACAGAGGCCCAGAATTCCTTCTGACCACTGGAGGTGTGTCTGCCTCTCTTTCTGCTCCCCTACACCCCTTGACCCCAGGGGGAAGGCACTCGGGCAGCACAAAGGGAGCAGATGCCCAGTCTCCGTGGCAACGGGAGAATGCGCACCATGGCAACCGCCCACTCAGCCTGATTTATCCGTCCCCGTCGCCCTGGCGACCGTGGTGATGTCATCACTTCTGCTTCTCCACACACACCCAGAGAAGGACTGGGGAGGGGGGACGACAGGGTATGCTGGGGGTGGAGGATTGGGTGGGGGCTGGGAGGTGGGGGAGGGGGGCCAGGAAAGCTTCCTGGTCCTGGAGGGAGGCAAGTGGAGTGAGCCCTGCAGGGCCATACTATTCGCTCTCCTGCCTTCCTCCTCCAGAACCAATCCATGGTATCTGAAGAGCTGAGAAAGCGCTGAAGGAGCAGAGGCTATCCATGCTTCTTTGCAACCCTCCCTGGCTCAGAAGTCCTCCAGAACTCTACTCTATCACTCTCCCTGACACTCACAGTATCACCCTTTGTTTAGTCTTCAGTGTGGACAGAAAAATTCCTAGTTGTATTCTGCATGTCTTGTTTGGTGAGTGGACTTGGAAAACACTCCCACAGGTTGATTTCCTCAACCAAAATGGCAAGCACCGTTGTAACCGGAAAGTGGATGAAGCCTTCAGTATCCAGCTCTGAACGTCTCTTGCTATTGAGGACTCTGACTGGTAGAGTCACACCCAGTCTCCTCATTCATGTAATTCCAGAGATCAAAGCCTAAGATCAGGCATTCAATTACATGCTAAGAGTGAGGCTAAGGGTACTCTAAAGAAAGTCATTTAACTGAGAGGACACCTAGGTCCAAGGAGCCCTGCCTCTCACTAGCTGTGTGCCATGGCTAAGTCATTTCTTTCCTCTGGGCTTCAACTTCCTCCTCTGTGAAACAAGAGGACAGACCAGGAGTCATGTAGTCAGGTATCCTCAACTCGGGGAGATCTTGGGTGACTTGAATTAACATGGAGAAATACAGAAATACAGCTACTGGCCGGACTCTGCCAGCCAGGTATTTACAGCCATGGATCAAACCTAAGACTCATCTCCAATAATATTCCTGCCCTGGCCTTCCCTCCCCCAAATCTCTGGGTCTGTGAGCAGCTGCTGGGTGGTGGGGGAAGGTCACAATCACATAAATCCTCCTGCCAATCTGCCCCCAGATTTACCTTCTAGCAATCTGGGATTATCCCATCTGAGAATCAATCTCCTATGGAGTGTCTGTGTGTGTGTGTGTGTGCGCACGTGTGTGTGTGTGTGTGTGTGTGTGTGTGTGTGTGTGTGTGTTTGTGTGTGTGTGTGTGTGTGTGTGTGTGTGTATGTGTGCTAGATCTTGCACTTGTGTAGGGGAGGTCTGTGGGCTAGAGACTTATGGTCATTCACATCCTCCTCTTTACTCCAGCCAAGACAGGAAATTCTCTCTCCGGCACCACAGCAGCTAGCCATATCCACCGCCCCCCCAAAGATGTGGAGACAGAACCAGGGCCACAGCATTGGGCATTCTTAGGATTGGCACTATGCCCTTCCCAACAAGTCTCTGGGGAACTTGCTGTTCTCTCAGAGACTGAGAACCTGGGAGAGAAATGATGTCGTGCCCGCCCTGCACAATCTTCCAGCACAAAAATAGCATATCAATAAATACCCACAGCTGATGTGCATTCTCAGAGAGACGCAGCGCAGACTGCAGTATGGACAGACCCCCTCATGCCCTCACAGGGACTCCTCAGTACCCCAATGCCCATTTCCAGTCCCCCTCCCACGTTCCTGGCCTGGCACTTCCTGTGGGAAGCTCAGCTTTGTTAGTTTGCCTGGGCACACCTGCCCCCTCCCCTGAGTCCAGCTGTGCTGTGTTTACCTGGCAACCAGGCAGGCGCCTCTTCCCTAGCTACCACCCACCAGGTGATAAGCTCTCCCTAGGGCCTCCCAAAGAAGAAGGGGCTATTTACACTCCAGCCAGGGATCGCTGATCCTCCTTCCCTAAGAGGACCACTGTAACAGTCAGTATCCCACCTCCAAAGAGAGCTCACTCTTCCTCAAAATCTAATTCTCTTGAGGGTGTAGGTTGGGAGCCCTGTTGCTCCTGGCTCTACAGTTCCTGGTGCCCCAGAGCCCATTCTCTCTGCCTCAAGCTGATGGGGGTGCTCACATCTCCAGAGCAGGAGATTGGTCCAGAACAGATGGGGAATAAGCCAGGCAGAGGCATCTCTCACAACCAACTTCCCGGAGGCCACACACACCCTGCCTGCTCAGAATGGATCCAGGGACCTGGGACAGAGCCACCCTGGGAAATCTTACTGGAGAGAAGAAAAAAATGGGACTCAGCCGTCACAGACTAGCCTGAAACAACATCTCAGTGTGGTAGCACCTTCTAGATTCTGGGTGATAAAGAGGGGGAGAAAAAGCAGGCTAAAATGAACTTGTTAAAGTAGATACAAGGAGACGGGGCAAAAACTTACTGACAGAACTGAGCATTGGCTAACATCTTGTACACACACACACACACACACACACACATTCTCTCTCTCTCTCTCTCTCTCTCTCTCTCTCTCTCTCTCTCACACACACACACACACACACACACACACACACACACACACACACGGGGGCAAATGCAGGATAAAACACTTGGTAGGGTACAGAGCAAGAGTTTTCTTATAGGTATCTATCTGCTCTCTTGACTGCCCCATATCAGAACCCTTAACTCCTTAGCATGGGATCCTTCTTGGAAGAATGGAACCCCTAACTTCCTATTAGAAACTATCAGTCCCTCTGGATTCTGTTAACGGTGGCAAAGGCCACCGTGGGAACTTCGTGTCACCTGGGAAGTCTGGAGCAAAGTGAGAGAAGCAGTCTCAGCAGGAGGCCTCCCTTCCCCCACTCCCATGCCCAGCCCAGGCTGAAAGGCAGGCAGTGTCTCATCCAGGACAGAGTTTTGCCTGAGCTTCATAGGCCACTGGAGGGGATAGATGCAGGGGATATATCCCTAGCTGATACCCTGCCTTTGGGGTGCCTCCCCACCCCACATTGCCATCTATCCAAGTCCCTACCCTGGCCTCTTTGGGTCTCCTTCCACTCACTGTCCAGTTCCTGCAGAAGCTCTGAAATGAGGAAACCCGCAGCAACGCAACTGAAAATCTGATTTGTGAGGAGCCTCCAGAGAGGAAGAGGAGGGAGAGTTGGGATTCAACAGTTTGCATGTACCCCTAATCTGGCCTGTCGGGTGTTCACACGCATGTGTGCATGAACACATGTTCACCCTAGATTTCTAGGCCAGCTCAGCTCACATGCATGTACCAGGCTCTCCATTCTGAGCAATGGTGGTTCCTGTTGGCTGGGTTGAGATGGCGGGGAGGGCTAGAGGGGACTTCCAGAGAGTTTGAAGTTGGGGGCGGTATAAGCAGTTCTATTTTCTATATGCCCACCCCATCTGTTTTGTCTCTTTTCTCTCAGGGGGATAGATGGGTCAGTACCATTCTTTATCCCACGTGGGGAAGGCGTGGAGTTTAGGCCAGATGTCTCCAGCACCGAGACAGTACCCAGGAAAGGTTTGCCATGGGCAGTGAGGCTTCAGGAAGGGCTCCCTGGAACTCACAGTCTGAGAGAAAACAGAAGCAGATCCACAGCCAGGGAGGGAGCCCAGGGGGCTTCTGGATGCCTGCTCTGAGTTACCAGCGCAGGCTTGTTGGACAGGCTGGCTCAAGAAACAAAGACATGTAACTTTGCAGGAGGGAAGCCATCTCAGAGCCACCTCTGCTTCCCTGTCCTCCCTGGGCACACTTGATGGGGTCAAGCCTGATCTTCCATGATCATGTCAGCTCTGTCCTTGCCTGATGTCCCAAACTCATATTCACCATAGATCCGGCTCCACTTTGATGCCCTGTGGCTGTTTTGGAGTACTTCCTGAGAGACAGGCAGGGAGCCTGTGTGATCTCAGAAATCGACACAGAACAGTCCAGCAGGCCCAGCTGCCTGTTCTCAGGGCATCAGTACCCCTCCCCCATCTACACCCACCCAGCCTGCCTTATTCTGCACTACAAAAGAGTGCCTAGAGCCCCTTACTCCCTCTGACACAGGTGCCCAGTCTCCTGTGCATGCCTCCTACATGGCTAAGTCCTCCCCACTAACGTGGCCTGGGGACAGACGGGTGGGGTGGGGGAGGGGCTGCATGTGCTCCTCAGAAAAGGTCACATTTACTCCACTAAGTGTTCTTTTTTTCACACATATACAGAAAGAAAGGGATGCTACAAGGACTTCCTGGTGATGACAAGAGATGGAAAATAGCTCAGTGTCCTGGGAGGGCTGTGGGTCCCATGACACTCCTAAGGCTCCTCTTAGCCCCCCAACCCTGTGGAGCGTAGGACTCACCCCTGGGAGAGTCTTCTGTTCGTGCAGGGCGCTCTGGGCCTTCAGGGCTGAATCGCGGGCACAGTATGTCAGGAAGGCACATCCTGAGGAAACACAGGCAGAAAGACAGGGTTGGAGTGACTTCTCAGTTTCCACTTCCAAGGGGGCTTCCCCAGGAGACTGAGGATGGGGGAGGCATTTCCCCTTCTTGCCATCTCTGCCTGCTGGGTTGGGGAGGCATCCCAGAGGGATAAAAATTATACCCTTTTTCTGGGGCAGCGACCTGGAGGTGAGGGACATGGGAGAGCATTTGATGTGTTGAGAGATGGCACTGAAACAGGAAGAGCTGTGATTTCCAAACAGGTAGGGCCATGTGATAATCATTCTCTCTCTCTCTCTCCTCTCTCTCTCTCTCTCTCTCTCTCCTCTTTCTCCCTCTCTCTCTCACTCTCTTCTCCCTACCTCTCTCTCTCTGTCTCTCTCTCTCTGTCTCTCTCTCTCTGTCTCTCTCTCTCTCTCTCCCTCTCTCTCTCACTCTCTTCTCCCTACCTCTCTCTGTGTCTCTTCTCTTTCTCCCTCTCTCTCTCTCTCTCTCTCTCTCTCTCTCTCTCTCACTCACTTCTCCCTACCTCTCTCTGTCTCTCTCTTCTCTTTCTCTCCCTCTCTTCCCTTCTCTTTCCTTTCTCCTCCCTCCATCTTGGCCGTCATCACCCTCTCCCCTTCCGTTTCCCCTACTTCTCATGTCTCCAAGACTCCACCGGAGGCAGGTGTGGGGAGTGCACGGAGAAGGAAGAGGAAAAGCAGCAGCCGGAAATGCCTTTTTCCTGAGATAGCAGGGAGGTAGTGTGGTTTGCGGTTCCCAGCTCCTGGAGCTCTCCAAGTGCTGATCCCCAACTGGCCCTGATTAGCACCACAGCTCTTGGAGACCTCAGGAGCATTTTCCCAGTAACTTTCTAAGTCCTACAAACCTTGTCCAGTCTCTCTTTTCCATGTCCCTCTCCGCTGCTCCCTCGCTTTAGTCCTTGGATGCCCTGGTTTAGCTATATCCCACTCTTTCTAGATTGAACACCTGGCTAGCCATCCCAGCATTATCTGGGGCTACTCACATTATCTATCAATCTTGATACTCTCTCCTAAAACTTGTCCTTCTGACCCGTCTGGAGTTCATCCCATGGCATCAACACCCTCTTCCATCTATAGTGTAGAGTTCCCCCTTAGTTTTCCACCCCTGTAATTCCTGTCACTCAACTTAGTTCTCATTCAGCTCCTCCATCCAGTCCCCAGCCCCTGAACTCTGCTTCTAAATTATTCCTTCCCAGCCACTCCATCCCTCCGGCTTCCTCCATCCTTTCTGCCTCCTCTCCAGTTTGGCCTGACCCCTCACCCTTGTGCAGCCCGGTGTACTTGTCCTTGATGACAGTCAGCTCGAAGATCCGACCAAACTGCTCGAAGATGGGCTTCAGGTCCTTTTCCTCCAGATGCCTCGGGATCTGCCCCACAAACAGCTTGATGGCATCTGGCTCCTTCATTGGGGCGGCCCAGGAGGAGGGGCCGGGGTGGGGGGAGCAGGGAGAGGCCCAAAGACAAGGGAAGCTGCCCAACCAGGAGGAGGCAGGTGGTGGGGCCCAAGGGCCCAGCAGGGCCGGCTTTCCCTTTGGCCCCCAACCACAGTGCTGATCAGAAGAGGGCTCTTCACACAAAGGAGGCCTGGGGAGTTGAGGCTGGGGGTCAGGGGTCTAGGCAGATACTGTCAGGCCACCTGGGGGCATAGCCCAAACAAATGATCTCCCTCCCAGAGATCTGGCAAATATCCCAGGATGGGGGTCAGAGCAGCTAAGCCCTGGGGCGTTTAGGTGGTAGCAGGAGCCAGGAGCACTGGAGCTCAGAGGGCAGGGAGCAAAGGCACAAATGCCAAAGGAGATGGGGAAAGAGTCAGAGGAAGGCAATAGGAAGGAGGCTGAGGGGCTAGGGGCCTGATTTGGTTGCCAGCAGCGTCATGAGGGGTCCCTGCTCCTGATGTGGGGCAGGTGACTCTTGTTGGCTTCCTAGGGAGGACACCTCCCTTGTGGCTGATCCTTCTGCTGGGTCCGAAGATCCCTGATGCCAAATGCTTGATTTCTGATGGCGGCAGGGCTCCGGGGGTCCCTTCTGCCCTGCCCCCTTAAGGTTCTCCCTCGACCCCCCTCCCACCCCAACCCTGGATGGTTCCCTGGCCTGGGCTGCTGCCGGC